GCGAAAGGGGGTCAAACACCGTATTAGTATGGTGTTCCTAATAATCCTTTAGGTGAGTGTATAACGGGCGGCGAAGTATTATGTTGTTTTGCTGTCTAATAAAAAAATATTGACGGTATGGCGATGCAGTAGGCAGCGCTGCAGCCTCACGTGTATGCGGCTGGCCGTTTGAATACTGCCTCTGGTGCTGCGTGTTTGCTGTGTGTTTCTCATCTTTACATCCAAAGCCATGTACTATACATGAATCACTATCTTCAAACCTGCCCATAGTGTGTGTCTTCGGATGGGCTGGCATCCTGTTCAGGGTGCCCCCTGCATTGCCCCCAGTGCTTCATGAAACTGGCACGAGGGTTCACAATGACCGTGTACTGGATAACCTTTACATAGCATAAATGGGTGGCTGTCTGTCAAAAACTGTCTTCCAGAATGAAATTTGTAATCAGTTAATGAATGTCAATATTTCAGTGCTTTAATGTGACTTAAACTACGTTAAGTAGTTTATTAGTTTTGGGGGAAGAGTACAGTAGTTGTATTTAATACAGGTGGCTTATGTTCAGTAGCAGAAGTTGTAATGTAACACAAACTGGCTGCACTGGCCATGAAAGAGCACGCGGTGAGAGATCGTTCCCCAGGGTTTGAGATCGCCGACTTGCTACATGATGCGGTCTAGCTTGTCTCAGGATTGGTGTAAGCTGCAGTTTGCCACCAGCAGGGGGAGCTGAGGAGTTGGGAGTTCTGTTGAAAACGGTGCTGTGGCAGTCAGTCGCACGAATCTGGTAGCACAACTCGAATGGAGAGTCAGACCGGTATTGCAGGCGTCTTGTTATGAGATGGTCACAGAAATCAACAGAAGAATTTCACCCCTAGGATCAATAAGGTTTATCTTAACTTTAAATTTCATCAAAAGTCTAAACAAATAACAAACTTTTATATTTTATGCTGTTTCATCCATACATTCGCGATTGTAGTGATATTGGGTATAATTATCTAAAAAGATTGATTCTCGTGCTAAATCTAGTCAGGTCCCACTAGGGGACTATAATTTATGAAATTTGTTTCTTCTGTACTCTATATACTTTGCTCCTGTACAAGAATTTCCCCCTGGGATCAACAAAGTTTATGGACGGTTTGTCCATTACAAACACTATGTTCAAGCATAAGGGTGTTCATAAGAGCACCTGTCACCAAAACACACAAGGCTGCAGTTTGATGGTCGATTTTGTAATCATATCGTCAGATCTGCATCCATATGTTTTGGACACTTGGATGAAGAGAGGAGCTGAACTGTCAACTGATCATCACCTGGTGGTGAATTTGATCCGATGGTGGGGGAAGATGCCGGATAGACCTGGTAGACGCAAACGCATAGTAAGGGTGTGCTGGGAGTGTCTGGCAGAGGGCCCTGTCCAGGAGATGTTAAACTCGCATCTCCAGCAGAACTTCTCTTCTCTCCCGAGGGAGTCAGGGGACATGGAGCCTGAATGGGCCATGTTCCGGAATTCCATTGCCGAGGGGGCAGTTCAGATCTGTGGCCATAAGGTTGTTGGTGCTACTCCCGGCGGCAATCCCTCAACCCGGTGGTGGACACCAGCAGTAAAGGGAGCTGTCAGGCTGAAGGAGGAGTCCTTCAGAGCTTGGTTAGCTTGTGGGACTCCACAAGCAGCAGATAGGTACCAGCAGGCCAAACAGGAAATGACTCTGGCAGTTGCCGAAGCAAAAACTCAGATGTGGGAGGAGCTGGTGAGGCTATGGAGAAGGACTTTCAGTCGGCCTTAAAAAGCTTCTCGCAAACCATCAGGCAACTCAGGAGGGGGAAGCAGGGCTTCACTAATGCTATTTATAGCAGGAGTGGGAGCTGTTGACCTCAACTGGGGATATAGTTGGGCGGTGGAAGGAATATTTTGAGGATCTCCTAAATCCCACTGATATGCCTTCCTGGGAGGAAGGAAGTAGAGCTAGAAGACTCAGAGGAGAACTTGCCCATCTCTAGGGCTGAGGTCACTGAAGAGGTCAAACAATTACTCGGTGGTAGGGCTCCGGGAGTAGATGAGATTCGCTGGGCTGTCTTGGCTGACACACCTCTTCAACATTGTGTGAACGTCAGGGACAGTGCCTTTGGATTGGCAGAATGGTGTGGTGGTCCTACTCTTTAAGAAAGGGGACCGGAAGATGTGTTCCAACTTTAGGGGGATCACACTCCTCAGTCTCCCTGGGAAGGTCTATTCCGGGCTACTGGAGAGGATGAGGCTGAAGTTGGCTACTAATTCGCAGCTCCTTATTTGGATTTTCCAGTCTACCTTAAATGCTTCGCAACCCAATGCAATGACGCGATTGTGTCTGTAGGGGGACCATTTTAATACCATAAACCTCTCTGTGCCAGGCAAATATCAACTTCTCAGTACACGTGCTTTTTCGCAGCATCCATGACAAGCACTTACTTGAATACACAAAATATGGCCTGACAGGCAGAAGAGAAGATTTTCTTCACAACAGCAGCTGTTGCTTTCACTTCACCATGGTCTGGATTATTCAGCTCTTCAATGTCGTCGCAAAAATACCATTCATTATCTTTATTAAGACAATGAAAGCAAATGAAATGTTGCATGTTGCTGAGGTGATATGTCACTGCTGCAGGCTGGTACCTATAAATCATGTAAAAAGGAAATTGAACCAAATGGCCACCAGACAAATAAGGAAACAATATAGAAACAAACATAAAACACAACATTTTTCACCTGTTACCTTGTATAGTTATTAATGATGGCAGCGATGCAGGTTGCAGCACAGAGGGCAAAGGTCCTGATACTGTGCTTGTCATGGATGCTGCGAAAAAGCACGTGTACTGAGAAGTTGATATTTGCCTGGCACAGAGAGGTTTACGGTATTAAAATGGTCCCCCTACAGGTACAATCGTGTAATTGCATTGCGCTGCGAAGTATTTAAGGTGGACCGGAAAATCCGAATAAGGAGCTGGGAATAAGTAGCCAACTTCAGCCTCATCTGGAGAGGAGGGTCCGTCTGTTGGTCAAACCTTGGATGCTGGAAGAACAATGTGGATTCCGTCCTGGTCGCAGAACACTGGAGGATTTGTGGGAGTTTGCAGAAAGAGTTTACATGTGTTTTGTGGACTCGGGGGGGGGGGGGTTCTGTGGGGGGTGCTCCAGGAGTATGGGGTACAGGGTCTGCTGTTGCGAGCCGTCAGATTCCTATACAAACGGAGTGAGAGTTTGGTTCACATTTCCAGCAGTAAGTCAAATTCATGCCGGGTGAGTGTTGGACTCCGCCAGGGCTGCACTTTCTCACCAATTCTGTTCACAGCTTTTATGGATACAATCTCTAGGTGTAGCCAAGGGGTGGAGGGGGTCCAGTTAGGGGGCCTCAGGATCATGTTTTTGCTTTTTGCAGATGATGTGGTCCTGTTTGCATCTTCAGGCTGTGACCTTCAGGATTCACTGGGGCGGTTTGCAGCTGAGTGTGAGGCAGCTAGGATGAGGACCAGCACCTCCAAGTCTGAGGTCATGGTTCTCAACCGGAAAAGGGTGGATCGCCCTCTCCTGCTGGGGGATGAGGTACTGCCTCAAGCGGAGGAGTTCAAGTGTCTTGGGGTCTTGTTCATGAGTGACGGAAAAAGGGAGTGGGAGATCAACAGACGGATCAGTGAAGCGTCAGCAGTAATGCAGATGCTGTACCGTTCTGTTTTGGTTAAGAGGGAGCTGAGCCAGATGGCAAAGCTCTCAGTTTAGTGGTCGATCTACGTTCCTACTCTCACCTATGGTCATGAGCTCTGGGTAGTGAACGAAAGAGTGAGATCACGGATACAAGCAGGCAAAATGAAATTCCTCCGCAGGATGGCTGGGCTCAGCCTTAGAGATAGGGTGAGGAGCCCAGACATTCGGGAGGGGCTCAAAGGAGAACGGCTGCTCCTCCACATCAAAAGGAGCCAGTTGAGGTGGTTCAGGCATCTATCTGGGATGCCTCCTGGACGGCTCCCTGGGGAGGTGTTTCAGGCATGTCTAACCCGGTGGAGCTGGAGGTGGCTGGTGAAAGGGCATCTCTGCTTAAACTGCTGCCCCGCGACCCAACCCCGGATAAATGGTGGAAAATGGAAGTATGGATGGATGGAAAGATGGAAGGAAATGGTCCATTTTATTTTCTGGAAGAAAATTAATCATTTTGATTAATCGACCAATCTGTGAAATAATCGATAGATTAATTGATAGAAAAATAGTCGTTAGGGGCAGCCCTAATTACAGCATTCAGTCTAATTGGGTAGGAGTCCATCAGCATGCCACATCTTGACTTGGCACTATTTGCTCACTCTTCCTTGCAAAAGCACTCCCAATCTGTCAGATTGTGAGGGCATCTCTTGTGCACGGCCCCCCATCAGGTCACCCCACAGATGTTCAGTTGGATTTAGGCCTGGGCTCCGGCTGGGCCAGTCCAAAACTTTAATTTTCCTCTGGTGAAGCCATTCTTTTGTTGATTTGGATACGCTTGGGGTCATTGTCGTGCTGAAAGAGGAAATTACTCTACATCTTCAGCTTTCTAGCAGCCACCTGAAGGTTGTGGGCCAAGATTGACTGATATTTGCCAGTGCTCATAATTCCCTCTACTTTCACTAAAGCCCCAGTTCCAGCGGAAGAACAACCACCCCAAAGCATGATGCTGCCATTACCAAGTTTCACTGTCTATATGGTGGTCTTTTGGTGATGTGCAGTGTTGTTTTTGCACCAAACATACCTTACCAAAGAGTTCAACCTTTGTTTCATCAGACCATAACACATTGATCACCATAACACATCATAACACTATGATCGTGACACACCCCAAAGGCGAATCTTGAGTGTAGATAGTGACTTTCTGTTTACAGAGCAAAGAAGCAAATCATCCACATACTGTTCCAGTGTGCTGCCCCCAGGCGCAGTGAACCCCTCCAAAGTGACTCTGTGTAGCCCTGGGGCATCAATGTCCAGGTCCACCTCTTCCCCTGAAAGGTGAAGGTGAACCAGTACTGGGAATCTGGATCTACTGGGATACAAAAGAACGCATTAGCCAAGTCAATAACAGAAAACCATTTGGCCTCTGCTGGTATGGAAGCCAGAATCGTAATTGGATTGGGTACGATAGGAGCTCTAGGGTGTATGGCTGCATTTACACCCCTCAGATCTTATACAAAACTCCAAGTACCATTTGCGTTTTTCACAGGTAAGATAGGAGAATTGACTGGAGAATAGCTTATTTCCTTAATAGCCCCCCTTTTCACCAGATCTGCATGTACTTTTCTCACTCCCTCCTCTGCTTCTCTAGATAAGGGATACTGGGATACACATAGAGGGAATCAAGCACAAGAGTCTCTCCTAGTTTATCCACTCAGCCCCTCCTTTTCCAGAAAACTGAGCAATGCACTGCAATCTTTCAGGCTGTTCTTGTCCTTCAGGGATACAGTCTCTCTCTCTCAAGATTGTGTCATCCACTAGCCACCAAGTGGCAAAGTTTTCTTTTTCTAATAAACAAAACAGTCCTAAAGCCTCTGAGGTCACTGTGAAACCGTCTTCCCCCACTTCCACCTTCATCTCCGTCGTGGAGAAACTCTTCCTGTTTCACAGAAGGCTGTGGCATCAGTCCCACTGCCCCCCCCCCTTCTTCAGCATCAGGGGCAGAAGGCTCAGCTCTCCCCAAAGGAGGAGGGACTTAGGCAGGAGGACGAGGTGCAGGTGGCGGCGGTGGAGGAGGGGACACTTCAGGCAGGACCAGATATCTGAATTAGGCTTTTTCCTCTTCTCAGCATCAGCTTCAGGCAGAGAAACAGAAGCAGTCGGATCAGCCCCCCCTTTCCTCTCAGCTAATCTTATCTCTCAGCTGCTCCACTCTAGTCTGCCACCCCCCCCCCCCCCCCCCCCCCCCCCCCCCCCCCCAGTTAGCTCTCACCAAGGTCACAAACTTCCACCGATAATAATATTCTGGCTTGTACATTCCCTCACCACAACAACCATTTCCCCCTCTTTTCCAGCATTGTCTCACAACATTCTAGCTCCAGTATGTTTAAAGTGTCCTCCTTCGGGCATCTACCCCCAGTCTGTCGATTACAATTTTTTTGCAAGCCTTCTTTAGTCTCAGGCCAGTCACCCGTTCCATTATCTGTCTTGGGGAGGGTTTCCCCTTTATTACACTTCCTCATCTCCCCTTCGAACTCTGAGTCCCTTTCCGGAGGGGGCGAATGTTTGCTTGACGCACTCCCCATTATTTACCACTTAAACGGCGTTGAACACAGGACCTATGAAATATCTGTTCTGGCCCTGATACACACTCCCCTTCTCAAGGTAGCTGCCGTCTGTATAAAGCACGCAGCTGCTGGGTGGTCACTGAACTAAACAAAGGCACCTTGTTACTGGGTGACGAAGAATCATAAAAGAACCAAGTATAACTCCAAACACTGGGTGTTTTAAAAGCAAAAGCTCACCTCAGTCTGTATATCTCAGATCCAACACATGATTCCCCAGACACTTTTGTGCTATATTAGTCCGAAGGGCTATGCAACAGCGTGGAGCAAAATCAACTCAATGTATTGTTTTATCCCACTGACGATACTGCACCTGGGAGGCCCCACACCCTTTACCACATACACATTCTCCAAAAGCAACACATACAACCCTATCAACATACACCCTTATACTCCCGTGGGACTGAGAGTGGGCCAAACACCGAACAGTCCCTTAGCTTGGAGCCAGGGGTCTATGACAGCGCCTGTCTTAGGCTGTTCCTGTCCTCAAACAGGAAGCTTACCCGTCATTGGCCTGTTTCGCAGTGCTGTGCTACCGCATGCAATGCATTCACTGTCTAGCCTTCACCATACAGTGGCGCACCATGCAGTGCACACACCGCCCTGCCCTCTGCCCCTCCTTACACCAAGACTTCACTGTCGTGTCCAGCCCCCATGCGGGTGACGGCTTCCCTGCTGCCCGACGGCTTCCCTGCCGCCTTGTGCCCCGTCGTACAATATACAGTGGCGCCACTCAAAATCACGGACTTTCCCAAGGTCTCCTGCATCCACCTGTCACGTAATAGGACTCAGCTCTCCACTCGGACTGCACCCTTTCCCTATCACAGGTGGATGAGCGCTCGCCCAATGGCCTTCTAACCGCGGCCAGCGCTTCCCCGTGCTTGTAATCCCACAGTGACTGCGGACTCTCACATAACACATTCAAACGCTACCAAAAACCTTCAGCAACAAGCAAAGCAGCAGCAAGTATGAATAAACTGAGAAGCTTTTACCTCATCAAAGCAGTTCCGGCTTCCAATTTAGTTACAATTTAGTCTCAGGAATGTTCAGGTCTGGGACAGCGTGATCTCCGTTGATCCTCAATGAGGGACTGGGCCAATCCTCAATATCATCTGGATCTGGTCCCATCAGGCTCTACGCCTTACCCGCTTCTATCGCAGGACCCCATCGTCTGGAACAAACAAGGAACTCAGCTGCCCCACATTGGGCACCAAACTGTGGTAGAAAAATTATAAATCAGCCTCTCTGATAATAAGACTCTGTACCTCTCAATTGATGAGCAAAGTCATTTCTTTTATTCTAGCAATCCAGCAAACCGTTCCCATCACACTCTGGCACTCGGTACCAAGTCACACTGAGCACAAAGAGCAACCAGTTGATAAACCATAACTCCCAATTCCCTATAAGGACTTCTAAGTCCTGATTGGTCACAAAACACCAACAAACCAAGCTCAAACTTATAACAAATACAATTCTCCTGCTCTATTGGTTCACCTTAGTATGATTAACATGATTACTTATACATTTGCACTACCATGTAACATATTATATATTATCTACTGCAACTATTTTAGAAAGCTATAACTCTTTGTGCACCAGTTGGGGCCGCTTCGAATCTCTTCCTGCAGGTGGATTCTCCTCCGCTTTGCTCCGCTGTCTGCCTCTCCAAGGGCCGAGCTCTCTTCAGGGTCTGCAGAGCTAACTGCAGGCAGCTATCATGAAGCGAGGTCACACAGTATTCAAAACAATCTCTTCTTGTCTAAGGCCTAAGACATAACAAACCCAATATGCCTCCCCTCCCGGGCCTACTAATGTCCAGGAGTCACTTTAATCGATGGCAGGTGAGTAACTAAAAAGACTGAATGCTGTAATTAAGTCAAAATGTGCTTCAACAAAGTATTAGTTTATGGGTGTGCACACATGCAACAAACTCTAGCAGATTTGTTTTTCAATTTGAATTGTATAGGTTATAGGTCACAATTAAGGTGTTTTTTAATCATTTATCGTGGTCTCATTTTTTTACATTTAAAAAAACCCGTCATTTTAATAGGGGTGTGTACTTTCTATACCCACTGCAAACAGGCATTCCCATTCACAGCCGCTTGTCATCACATTGATTGATAACTATAACACTATCTGACAACACCTGACTCTACTCTCACCTTAAAATTACCTGCTGGGTTCACATACTTTTGCCACTCACAGATTTTTCACATTGAATCATTTTCCTCAATAAATGACCAAGTATGATATTTTTTATCTCATTTGTTCAACTGTGTTCACTTACTTTTAGGACCTGTGTGAAGATCTGATCATGTTTTAAGTCATATTTATGCAGGAATGCAGACAATTCTGAAGGGTTCACTAACTTTCAAGCTGTATAGTATGAGCCAATTTTGAGTTTGAGACCCCAAATTCCAATGCACTGTACGAAGCTGAGTTTCTGTTTTTATTTTGTGTCTGCCACCACCTCCTGCTCTGCCTGGAGAGTAACGAAGGTGATCTCACATGGCATCTTCCACTTCTTTCTCTGATGCTTTGGTTGCCTTGAGGATGACCTCTGAAATTAACACAAAATTATCAAAGAAACATATAACTTTTTCAAATACATTTACAATTTTACAAGTTTCCCCTCAGGATAATAAAGCTGTCTGATTCTGAAAGATGCTGACACAAAGATGTAAAGTTATACAGTATCTACAGGCTTTTATAAAGAAAGTGTAAAGTGCTTTAAAGTTGCCCAGTTCAAAGACAATTTGTTAGTTTGCACTAACTAAGTTGTTTGTCAGTTGTTCTGGTCTGTAACATAATAAGCCAAGTGGAATAAAAGCTCAATAGTAACAAGCTGAAAAGAGCTATAACTGTACATTACCACCTATGGTAGTAAAGTCGACATACTTTAAACCAGGGTTCTTCAAATTTGGACCTCGATTCCAAATCCAGGCCTTGTTTTCAGTTCTCCCAGGTAGTTAGTTTAATGATTACTGATTCTGATTGGTCAGAGGCTTCACACCTGGCTCACAGGTAAAGGAAGGCTGGAAAACAAGCAGTGCTTGGACCTCGAGGACTGTGATTTGAATAATAAGGCTTTAAACAATAAAAACAAATGCCCTCTTGTGGTTATATACTAGGTCAAGTACACTATTCCAATTAAACGGCCTAACTGAGCTATAACCGCAGCTCGGCTAAACTGTGCATGTAAATACTGACTGTGCATGTAAATACTGACTGTGCATGTTTGACCCTGAAACATTTTATTGTTAATTAGTTGATCCATGAAAAAATAAAAGTTTCCTGGAGACAATGGAGACTGATGTCATAAATTAGATGAGGCAGAGATCACACACACACCCTCACTCACACACAAATGAATGAATACCTTTTAGCACTGAACAGATCTCAGTTGCTGCAAAACTGGCCTTTCCAGCCTTTCCTTTAAAACTAAACTGGGCCATGATGAAATTGCTCAGTAATCTGCAAAGTAAACATTTTATTAGTAAATGCTTACTAATAATTGATGTAATAATACATTTATTGATCATTTAAAAACCGTTAGAGAATGCAGGAAGTGCGCATGCGCAAAGTCCAACGTGAGTAAAAAGATTACAGCGTTTATCTGTAAAATATGAATAAATGTTTGCACAATGCTACAACACTCACAAAACATTGTTTTAATGGAACAATGTGGTTTTGGGAATTACGAAGTTGTCCATGTTAAAGTATCTGGGCCGTACTGGGCCTCCTTGAGAAGCACTGTAGCTGTGTGCCTGAATCCCACGTCCAGCTATGTGTCTGTGGATTTTCAATGTTATCTGCATATTTGTGTAGGTTTTCTCCATGACTTAGGAGACTCTAAATGTCTCAGTGTGTGAATTTGTACCCTGTGATGGACTGCCATAATGTCCAGGGCATCTCCTGCCTGGTTCACCAGGATCCTAGACTGCATATGTGGTTAATGGAAAAAAAACTACTATTTAAATCAATATTTTATTATCCAGCATATCAACGCATTCACTCAGTGGTTCTGATGACAGCGATTGATCACCAAACATGCACTCATTTGTTTATTGTTGTCATTTTGCTTGAAAAAGCCCTGGACATCGGTATACAACATTGTTTGCTTCTTAACTTTTTGGTTGTTTTTTTACATACCTAATACTTAGCAACTACATTGTTTAACCAGGAGACTGTATAAGGTTCATGTGTATGTTATGTGATGTTTACTTGTTTTATTTTGCCTGTTTTCTACATCTGACAGAGTTTAGCCATCATTGGTATTGGGGGGCGGTGGAGAGGGATTGGTGCTGGTTATGGGGTTGGGGGGAGGAGGGGAATCCTCTTCAAATAGCTTGTGAAGACTCCAGCTTCTCAAATTGGGTTAACCCCCCTTGCGGGGCCAGGGCTGAGGTCCTGGTGGCCGCCGCTAATGACAGGCAGCTGAAGGCTAACTCCCGGGGCTCCAATCACATTTGCAGAGCCCTAACCAGATTATGGTGAGCAATGGAGGGCTTTTACATCTGCTTCGGCCTCGTTTGTGCCTCCTCGCTGGGAGAAGCATGTGGCGCTCCGCCTGATGGACCCGGTGAGGCTGTCAGTGTGACTTGAAGGGGGCAAGAGGACACAGCCCAACAATGCACCACAGCACCCCCATACCCCCACCATGCCCTAGAATACTCACAACGCACCACAGCACCCTCACAATGCCCTAGAATACCCCACAATTTTTGACTTATAAAAATGGCACAATGGTTTCCATTTATGGTAGAAATATCTCATTTTATGTGCAAAATGTACATGATTTCCATGCACATTTTACAGAATTCAAAAATAAAAACATGAACAACTAACCTGAATCAATGACTATTATTATTATTATTATACTGTGTAGGCAAAAACATTAACATAATATTCACATCTATGTGTTTTTGTATCCAATAGTTTCAATACTATGTAAGACGTTTGTTTTTACACGTACATAGGTTTTGACTTACTTAAAATGTCAAAAGTGACCAATAGCAAAGCATCTGGCCTTTAAAATGGTATTGGACTTGGTCATACATTACTGGAAAATACTGAGAAATGTCCTGTCAAACTTGGCTCATATAACCAAATGTGCATAAAACCTTGTATTTCAAAGTGCCTATTCTTGAAAATTCTATAGCAGAAGTTGACCAAATTTTGTCTGGAAATAACCTGCCTTTCAGGTGGTATTAGACTGTTTTATACAATATGGAAACATTTTGTAATCTATGTCCTGTCAAACTTGGTTCATATAAAAAAATGTGCATAAAGCCATGGATTTAAAGTGCAAATTCTTGAAAAGGGTACAATTGACCAAAAGCTGACCACATTTTGTCTTCACCTTTCAGATGACATATGCTTTTTGCATTATGGGAAAGTAAGACTTTCATTTTATATTAGCACATCCCATACTTCATACAGATGACAATAAATCTTGAACCATTTTCTATGCACGATTACTCAGATTCTTACATTTTCCTAAAAAATCTCATACCGTAATGTTGTGTTCATGACTGCACCTCACGTTGTAAGGGCGGATGATTTGACCATGCATCGGGAAAGCGCGGATAGCTTGACCGCAGTTGGTTAGGGAACTTGCAAAGAAACTCCTTATAATTGTTGACTCGCTAAACTTATTGGATGAGACCCATCAACATTGGTTTTCTTTCTTTTTTATTAATATTTTATTAATATTAAATAGTACAATTTATTTTAACCCCGTAACTGATTGTACATGTTCACTCCGCCCCGTAACATTAACAATATATCCTGTTATATTTATATGCTATATTGTTGTGTATTGGAGTTCCGTTACAGTTAAAAATAAAATTAAAAAAAATACTGACCCGGAAATAGTTCCTCCCAGACCGGAAGCACATTTCAAGCTGATCCAGGATTTGTATTGTATGCGATTGAGGACTCCTGAGTTCATGCAAGACGGATCAAACCCGGGAAACATGGGGAGATAGAGGGTTTTACGGTGCGTAGCACAGAATTATTTTCAGTTTAACACACAGCGGCAACCGAACAAAAAAGTATTTGATCTTGCCGGCAGCTAACTTGCTATTGTAATTAGCGAGATCCAGCAGTTAAGGTAGCTGGATCGTCGCTTCAGTCTGGTCAATACGGACAAGGTTAGCTTGTTACGTTTAGTGCTTCCTTTGGAAAAGATAATTCAAAATATTTTGGGGTTGGTTATAAGTACGTGTTACTTTGAAACTGAAGTGTTTGCATATAAAGAAAACATTTATGTACGTAGTTAGCTAACCAACGGGATATCTCTGACTGTCAGGTGCGAATGGTGTATAACAAAATGCACTTATCATTAATTTGAACAATCTGAATTTTAGTACAATAAAAGTAGATCCACAAAGTGGCGGATATTGGTTTTAATAAATGTTCGATAAATAGCTGTAGCACGGGACCGGAAATTGGCGGGTAAACTATTTCCTTAATCACGTTTAAAGGTAAGTTTTTGTTTTTTCCCACTAATAAGCTATATTTTTGATTTTGTAGATGCCTGTGTAGAAGGAGAGTGAGCAATTCCCCAGTTTTCAGTTGTTAGGTTGAAGATTACTATTTATGAAAATAGTCATACAGAGACCCACATGAAAAAGACACATGGACAGCCATCACCCTTAGAAAGAGCAAGACCGCACCTAATCCCGTAGGTTGAAAGTCAGTTTATAGTGATTTCACGTTATTAATCCACTTTCTCAAGTCGTCGCAGGTTCAACTCGTTTGCCTTACTCACTTTTGTTTTGCGCTCTAGCATCGTAGAACCCAGTCCAGTATTATCAGGGTAATGACAGTTATTGATGTTTTTTTTTCCTCTAGCCTAGTTTTTATAAAGCCAAAAGCAGCCTCAGGATCTGGCGAGGCACTGCAATTTAAAGTTCTGGCCACATAGATTATGACCCAGTACCAGCCGCAGACGCTGATCAACCTCTCCAGCTTCTCCAGTACCGTGAAAGCCGACCCCAGCTCCACCCCTCCCCTCTCCACCAGCATGGCCAACAGCACCACTGCTGCCCCGAGCAAGGTGCTGGGGACCCCCGGTCCTGCCGGGAGGCTGAGCCCCGAGGGCACACAGGTATGCTGCCTCAAGCTGTACTGATCCTTTGGTATGTAGATGTTACATCTTACCCATCATGCTTCTCTTCAGGCTGTCACCATAAAAATGTGAACAGAGTATGCAACTGTGGATGCTGACAACCAGTTCTGGAAGGGCTGAAAAAGCCCAGTTAAGAGAGAATGTGTCTGTGTTTACGCTTCTTCTGTTTCATGGGTCAGGCGTGTGCCTGTTTTTTGAGTATCTGCTTCTTCTTTAACAGTCTGTTCTCCTAAATAAGTTTTTTAATGTAAAGGTTGTTTTGGCCGTTTTGGTTTTCCCAAAGTGCAGTATGTGTGAAAGACACTCAGCTTAGTTTGCCTGCCAAATAGTTCCTGCACAGAAGCAGGACACCCTGTTGCTCAAAAAACAGACACAATTAGCTGAAGATTTCTGTGTGCATCCCCATCATCATGATGACAGATCTTAATTCCCCTTGTAGTATTCTGCCTTGCAGAGGTAATCGTTTCAGCTGTCCAATGCTGACAATGGCTCGTCAGAAAAGAAGACTAAAGACAGATGAATGGGAGCATTTTTAACCTCTAACCCCACTGCTGCGTTCTAGCAAGTCATGACATTTCTGCACTACCCACAGGTGCTCAGCAAGAAGAAGCTGCAGGACCTGGTAAGGGAAATCGACCCAAACGAACAGCTGGATGAGGACGTTGAAGAGGTGCCGCTCGTTACCAGTTTGCCTTTAGGGGTCGCTGTTTCTCATGCCGCTATTCTACTCATATTCAAACATGTTTTGATCAGCTTGTAATTTCCTTTGAGAAGTCCATATATTTTTGTGAATTCTTAAATATGCTTAATAGAAATTAAGAAATATTTTTAGAGTTTAACTTTTAATAGTCAAATATACAGTGAGCCAAATTGTTACTATGAGTTTGACTTCTTTGGAAAAATGGTTTGTATGACTGAACAAGAAATGCACAAGATTATTTAGAGAGCTCTGAAACTGAAAAATAGTTACTTGTCCTGTTTGTCCAGTCTTTTTCATTATTTATAGAATTTAATCTGGTGATGGGGCTGAATTTCAAACCTTTGGTTGGTTTGTGAGTCATGCTGGTTTTAGCTGGATTCCTGTTTTTTTTTTTTCCCTTAAGACATATCATGTGACCGAATCTGTCTCCGGTCACTTCTGTTTCAGATGCTGCTGCAAATCGCCGACGACTTCATAGAGAGCGTGGTGACTGCCGCGTGCCAGCTGGCACGCCACCGCAAGTCCAACACCCTGGAGGTGAAGGACGTCCAGCTGCACCTGGGTGAGTGCAGGGAGCCGGCCTGGGCTCACCTGGCATCACTGTGCCATGTGTGGACCTGCCAGGCATTGAGGATTGTGCCTTACAAACGTCATTCTGTAGCAGGAGAACTTCTGTCTTCATGGGCATTGATTTTTTTTAACCTATCAGTGAACAGTTTACTGTTACTTTAAGAAAAGATAAAGTAGAATAAAATCCCAGCGTTTATAATATCCGTAATGTCGGGGGGGCAGTTGACCTTGGACTCCCAAAGGTTTTTTCCCTCCCTATTTGAGTGTTTGGTTCCTCTTCTCCGTTGTCATCTGGCTTTCCTCCTTTCATTTCTTTGTTTTTCTTTCTTTTTTTTTATACTTATTTTTGAAATATTCTGCATAAATGATGCTGTGATGTATCATAACACGCCTACTGATTCACTGTTGTGAAAGGCACTATATAAAAGGAAATAGAATTTATAAAAGATGTCATGATCATTCACCCCGTGACTCGAGCATTTCGGAGTCATGCTCTGATATGCTTCTGGACAGTGTGGCCTGACAGTGCATTCACTCGCCATGTCAGTGTCACTCCACAGTCACTGCCGTGCTCAGGTTCTGTGTGTGTTGCCCCCCCCCACAGAGCGCCAGTGGAACATGTGGATCCCCGGCTTTGGTTCTGATGAGATCCGGCCCTACAAGAAGGCCTGCACTACAGAAGCCCACAAACAGGTGGGTCGTCCTGGGAGCTGCTCGTCCGTCACTGGCTGCTTCCCACGTCCAGCCCTCCACCAAAGCGTTGCACTCTAGTTATTGTCCCAAACACTCTTTGCCAGGCAGGCAGAACCACCGCCTTTGTTCTTCAGCTAGTGTTTCTAAACTATTTGGACATCTGTGTGATATTATTTAAACCCCCAAATATCTGTAGTTCATGTCAGCTTTCCCATTCTTCTTCACGTTTAGCATTAGTGATCCCCTGTCTATCACGGAAGTTGCGTTCCAGACCCATCAGCGATATGTGAAAATTCGCAATATAGAAACACCATATAAATAACCATTTTTTTAGAGTTTAAGCCTTAAAATATCCCTCCCATATGCTTTAAACACATGTAAACGTATTAAAGCACACTTTGTAAACACACATGATATGTGGATGTCGGGCTAAGGATATGAGTAACATACTATATATGTATATATTTATACACATCAGAGAACTGTGATGCGTCGGGGAAAAATCTGTGATATAGCGGGGATCACTGTACGTGAGTAATAACTGTTATAATGGTTAAAAATTGATTAGAAAAGATCAGGTCTTTCAGGTACTCGGACTCGGCGGTGTGTATGTGGTCTCTGGTTACCTGTGTAGTCACCTTTCATACAGGCTTTCTTGCTAAGGTCGATTTGTTTTTGTTTTTCCCCCCTTCAGAGGATGGCACTGATCCGTAAAACAACCAAGAAGTAGTAGCACTGGAGGAAGCTGGACGGACACACTCTGATTCTTGTACCTTTTTCCTTTATTTTTAAAATCTGGGTTTGTCTGGGTTGGGTCGCTGGCTGCAGAAGATAAGATGTTGGGAAATCCCCGAGTTATGATGTGTTTAAGGACCTGATATCATGTACATTTTTAAGACTAGGGGTGGGATGGGGGCGGGGGCGGGGGTAGGCGGGGCTGTAACCTTTCTTACCTGGTTCATTCGTACGCCATGAGTCTGAGTTCCACGTGCTTCGAGGCAGGACCCCAAGGGCTGGCCAACACTGTGCTCGAACTGTGAGGAATGCTGTCACTTTTGTTTTGTTTTTTTTTTTAAATATATATTTTGGATAGTTTGCCAAAGTGCACCAACTGCTCCCACTGTATGTACTCGGTCACCTTTTTTTGTTTTGTTTTTTGTTTTGTTTTGATTTGGCTTTTTAACAGCATTTGGAACCAGATTCAGATGGATGTCGGTTGAAAATAATGTAGCTGAATGCCATGCGGGCTTTTCTCACCGCAGTCTGCACGTCATCCATGACATCATCTCCGTGCGTTTCGGTTCGTAGGTGTTCTCCAGTGTACCCATGGCATTGTGAGCCTGGGGTGTGTTGTCTTGAATGTCCCATTAGTTGTCTTCTGTTGCCTCGCTGCTGCCCCCAGTGGAGAGAGGCACAGTAGGGTTTATAAGTGGTGAGAAGTGTGGCTTTTAAGAAACACAGCGTGTATGATTACCATGCACTGCTGTTTCCCCTTGTTAGTTTATTGGCATCCACAGTGATTGACATCTCAGCCGCTGACAGAACCTGGCATTTCTCCCATGGCTCGTTTCCATGTTTGGGTCGCACCTTGATTTATTTGTTGAGTGTTCAGTACTGTAGGTCCATCGTTCTGTCTTTGAAGTGGGTTTCTCCAAAGCCACAGTCTGACTGCACGTTAGATTCTGCTTGACGTGGATCGTAGTTCGTCGGTGCCGTTAGCCTGCGACGGAGTCATCGGCAGCCCATTCGTGTATCCCAGAGATTTGACCATCGGGGTGGGGGGGCGGGGGGGGGGGGGGTTGTTTGTGTGTTATCACGCTGCTTCACGGTGGAATGTGTCCCCATTACGCAGTCGGCGGTTGGGTGAAATGGGCTTTTACAGCGTGGTGTGTGAAACAAGGTGCAGTTTGCTGTGCAGCGGGGGTGGGGGGGTGGATACTCATGCAAGGTGGGGGGGGTGACTGACTGTCTCAGCAGCGGGGGTCACATCTTTCAGTTTGTATGATGGTTTAAATATTCCCTGTGTTTTTCCCCTGTCAATAAAACGTGACTAATTTCCCTGTATACTGCTGTGTGTTTTTTAAAAGTGTATCATTGTCTCTCACATCTGACTGCTTTCAGATCCTCTCCTTGACTTGCGGTCTCCTGCTTAGGGGGCTGATGTAATGATTGTGACGAGTGTGTGCAGAAAGCAGAACATACCCGGTACTTTCAGCTGCTCATCCAGTATATATGCAGCATTGGCAATGCAGGGGATTAGCCCATATGAGATGCCAGGCTATTGTAGGACAGATAAGTGGGATTCTCTCTCACTCACTCGCACACATTCTCACACACACACACATGCATGCCCCACAATTGCACGATATGACCACCCAGCAAAGAAAAACCAACAATACGACCCCTATCAAACTCCATCAAGTGCTGGTAATACTGACCAATGTGTATAAGAGGCATCCTCTGTCTCTGGAGACTAGATGTGTCAGCTCCTTGCAAATCGAATCACATACATACCCGTCACCGGTCTGCACGTGTACCAAATTGCATCCAAATTGGACCATTACTTCTGGGTGTTTAATGGTGACCTTTTTTGTCACTGTGTGTGTGTGTGTGATACGCAGTGCGACGTAGCCAAGTTTCTGTTTTCAGTTTCGCAATCAGCTTGAAACATGAGCTGCCATGTCACTGTGAGTCACTGAAAGTGGATCCGTTCCAGGAAATCCCCGCTTTCCAGTGTGTCTCTGTGGCCCCTTTGTGGCATCATGAGTTCCCAAGTGCACCACTGAACAAGGTGTTAACCCTGAAAGGCTACAGTAAAGCATCTAGCTGTGCTAAAAGTGCAACATGCATGCTGGCTCCTCACTGGTGTCTTCAAGTCAATATAACTTGTAAACTAAGTTTACTGGTGTGTCCCCAAAGCAGTGAAATATGCCGTGCGATGTGTGGGATTTAAGCATTTGTGCACTCAGTGTTAAGAAGTGAAAATGACTACGACATCATCATGAGTTTTAAAAACTCATACCCGCTGAAGCTGGGGGGGGTATGTACTCAGAGCTCTGCTGTGCGTTGATGCAGCGGGAGATTAACGCTGGGTTGGTGAAGGAGTTAGTAGAGCATCAACATAAAACCCTTTTTCAAATATAGGTCAGGGGCCTCCAGCTGCGGTCCTGAAGAGCTGCAGTCCAACAGGTTTTCTATCCTTCTTGGCTTCTGCTGAGCCACACCTGTTGTCAGGTAAATACCAGGAACAGGTGTGGCTCATCAGAAGCCAAGTAGAATTGAAAACCTACCGGATAGTAGCTCTCCAGGACTGGAGTTAGAGACCCCTGATATAGGCTTAGTTTGCTTTGCAAGACAGTTGGCTGCTACCAGCCATCCCTCAAACTGGCTGTTAGCCTTCTGGCTCGCTAGCTAGTCATGCTTTGTAATAGCAAAGTGTCCTATCTAGCAGAACCCTGGGGGGATCATGGCCGTGAGCTGTAAGTATACCGACCACCGTCACAGGTTATAGTTAGTAAAACACTGAATTCTATTTATCTCCAGGCCAACATGCATTGTTCCCGCATTATTTTAAAAAATGAAAGCCCCAGTCGTGTTAAATTACAAAAAAACATGTGTCATTATTTTGTCTTTTCGGGGGGGTGTACCCCCCCTACTTAAATTGTGCCTCCTCAGAATTTTGACTTGCATGACGCCGCTGTTACACATTATAGAATTTAGGAGTAGAATTAAGTGATCATTGTTGACACACCACATCACACAGTGCACAACAACGAAATGTGTCCTCTGCATTTAACCCGTATGTGATGTCGTGACATAGCAGGGGGCAGCTAATTCAGCGCCCGGGGAGCAGTGCTTGGGGGGGGGTACCTTCCCTAACCATTAAGCCACCACTGGTGACTGCTGACAGCTGTACACACATCTGCAGGGGCATGTGCACCAGGGGGGGCTGGCAGGGTCTGACCCCCCGCCTCTATCACCTGAATGGTTGAAAGTGTCTCCTTTTTCTCGGGGGTGGGAGACAGAGGAGGACTCAAAGTAATGCACAGCACCAGCTCAATGAAGCATCCCACCCTTAAATCAAACTCTTTTATTACTGGCAAATTTTTACACATGACACTGCTGTGTTTGCTTTGGTGTGACGTAGCACAGGTCCCAGTGTGTGGAGAGTTTGTGGGGAGCCGCCCGGGCCAGCGTGGACCTCGGCCTGCCCTCATGCTAACAGCTACAGCTCTTCCCCGCGGAGGAGGTCTTCCTGGACTGAGATGGTTTGGTATCCAGGGCCCGGGGGGCGGAGCACTTGATGCCGTCCCAGCCCTCCCGCATCTGCACCTCCCCGCTGCGCAGGCCCTGGTACACCCTCCGCGCCAGCAGCTCGAAGGCCTCGGCCACGCGTTCGCCGGCCTTGGCAGAGGCCTCCACGTAGGGCGCGCCCAGTTTGGTGGCCAGCAGCTCGGCCTCCTGGCGGCCTACCTGCCGCAGGCCCTCCTCCTCCAGGTCGGTCTTGTTGCCCACCAGCACGAACAGCACGGTGTGCGGCTGCACTCGCTCCCGCACCTCATCGTGCCACCCCTGTATGCGATCGAAGGATGCCCTGTTGCCCAAGTCGAACACCAGCAGGCCGCCCACTGAGTTCCGGTAGTAGGAGCGTGTCACCGATCTGCGGGAGGGAGACAGCAAGTTTGGCTGTTAGTGTTTGCCGGATGGGGCTCAAGTTCACCATTTGGGCTGGGCTTGGGCTGACGTGTCAGTCCCGAGCAGAGTTCCAGCTTTTGATAGCCTTGTAAACCTTCTACTTCAGCAGCGATGAGTGTGTCTACGCTAACATTCATTGAGAAGTGATTCCCCCCAGCCTCACTGGTCCCAGTAGCATCAGCCCTATTAGTAATGAGCTTAGCCAGTCCCCCAAACCATCACCTGTCTTTTCTCCCAATAATTAACGTCACGGTGAGGCTGGACACCCGCCACAGGGAACACGGAGGATCTGGACAGAACACCAAGCTTTCACAGGGAACGGACACACGGCTATAGTGGCGATTTAGCGTTACCCAAACCAAATGTCTTTGTGGGAAACACCAATACAGAGAGACAGCGAATACAGCAGAGTTTGGGCCGAGAGTGATTCTACTGAAGCGAAAGGTAAGAAGACTGGGCCGGACACTATGGCGTCATTAGTGTGTCAGTGGTTTGTCTTCCGCACACATGCATCCAGGATGACGGTGAAGCTGAGGCCTGCGCTTGCAGAGCACAGGGGACAAGGCAGGGGATACCTGGGTATCACAGGCAGGTAGGGAATCAGCGTAACAGAAAGAGACTCACACAGACGCCTGGGAACAAGCGGACTGCACGCACACACAGAGTAGGGTTTCAGCCTAATAAAGGAGGTGAAGCCTTTACACAAATAAGTCAGTCATGTTTCATTGTCACACCGACTGTCCCAGTGAGGGTCCCGGCAAATGGCAGCGGCACATCCTGAATGTAAGGCCAGTAGTGACGTTTCTTTTATATATATGGTGCGTGTGTGTGTGTGTGTTTGGGAGGGGGGGAGGGCTTTATATGTATATGTTACATTGTGGGGACCAAATAATGTGATAAAATGTTATTGTTATTTTGATGTTGTGGGGACCACCTTTTCAGTCCCCACAAGGGAAAATTTAATTTTATAAAAAAAACTGTGAGTGCAATCAACAAGCTAAGTCTTGTATTTTGTTTGGTTACTTATGGTTAAGGTTAGGGCTGGGTGGGGGTTAAGGTTGTCATTGTTGGCATTATGGTTTTTCCTATAGAAATGAATGGAGAGTCATCACAAATAGATAAATACAAACGTGTATGTGTGTGTGTGTGTGTGTGTGTGTCTGTCAGGCTGATACATCAACTTTACTGAAAAGCCATTAATGTAGCAT